TCATTCAGTTTCTTTAGAATTATCACTCGAAATTCCTTGTCATTCATTTCAAGGGCTTCTTGTTCTACAGGATCTAGAGTTTGAGATTTATTAACTTTTGGTGGTGTACTTTCTTGGTTTTTTGTATTTCTGGTATCTTTTTTTTGATGTTTATTCATTTTGCAGGGGGTTTCACAGTGCACAGGTTTGATCCTATTGACTAACTAAGGTGTGGCTGTGTTTGTCAGTTTGGGATGGCTACCTCTGTGACTGCTCAGTTGACCTCTAGTGTTTTGTGTGTGTGGTTGCCTCGGGTTTTGGGCCTCTCCGTGGAGCCTCCTCTCTGGTTAGCTTGGACCCTGCTGGGGTGCTGGGTCACAGGACGGTACTGCAGGGTGTGTGGTCTCTTTTGAGCTTCCATTTCCTGTGTAGAACTTCTCCCTGTTCTGTGCACTCTGGCCCTGGCTGCTGGGTCACACAGTGGTGGCCCCACAGGGTATGTGTTTTCTGCCAAGTCTCCGCCTCCCTATCTGGACGTCTCCCCGCTCTGTGCATACTAGGCAGAGCTGTTGGACCTTGCAGAGGCGGCCCACAGGGTGTGTGTTTTCTGCTGAGTCTCCGCCTTCTTAGCTGGTTGCCTCCCCGCTCTGTGCACACTGTACTGGGCTGGGACTTGTCTTCTGCAATCCTTGTTTATCAGCCGGGCCTTCAAGCCCCTGCTCGGCACCGCCCCGCCCAGGAAGACTTTCAGGTTTCTGCTATGCGCAGATGACCAGTCGCCCTGTGTGCCTTTGTGGCACTGAGTATGGCTTTCTCAGGACTTACCACCTTCCTCCTGGTATTGCGGTTATTTGTGTACTTATCTTATCTCCCACACCAGGGCGTAAGCTCCTCGGGGGAGTAGCCCGCAGCACACATTTCCTCTTTGAATCCCCCGGCACGGGCACGGACTGACTCCAGTGCCCGCCCACAGTCAGCTCTCCGGCAGGTTCAAGCGAGCTCAGGAGTGCTCTGACCACACTTTTCCTAACCAGAAGTCGGTTAGGTGTTTTTCCGAACTGATGGCTGCAGAGATGGTATCTGCCTCCTGGTAACAGGAAGTTTACTGGGGGCCGGAGCCCAGGGTGCGGTGGAGTGACAGCCCGGCCAGCTCTTCCCTGCCCTCCTGACGCCGGCTGGGGCTCCCCATGCCACCAGCCCCACCAGAGAACTGTGGGGGGAGTGGGATGGGAGGCCGGCCCGCAGGCCCCGGGAGGCCCTGTGCCAGGGCCAGCAAGTGGTAAGGCTCAGTGAGGAGCCATGCTGGATGAGGAGGGCAGGCCTGGCCAAGCCGGCTGGCTCTGCCCCCCACCCAAGAAAATGGAGGCAGCCCTGGGGCCGGTGATGGGCCTGGTGTGGCAGATGGAAGCCGAATGGGCGTCTGCCTTGCAAGCAAGGCCAGGCTGGGGTTCACTCACAGAGATGGGCCGGCAGGTGGCTCCCTCTCCATTTCCGCTTCGTCACCATCCCCGTCCCCGTCCTTGGCTGCCGCAGCCTCAGGCTGCTCACTCGGTCCTGCGGTGGGGCTCAGGCGCTCTCAGGAATCTTCCTTTGTGTCGGCCCTAAACCTCGAATCTGTAGTTGCTTTTTTATAGTTGTAGATTAGTTGATCAAAGACTTATTCATTTTTTGTTGCTCTTGGAAATGCAAATAGCCCTCTGACAGCACAGCGCACACTTCTCAGGCTCACGCTGTCTGCTGGTGCCTCCACTCCAGACCCGTCCCCATCTTGGTCAGTTTCTGAGGCTGGAAAGTCCAAAGTCCATCTGGTGGTGGCGACAGGGACCCAAGGGTCTCACATTGCAAGACGGTGGAAGCAGAGAAGTGTTGGAGCTCTTAACCACTAAGCTATATTGATATATTTTTAAAGCTTCTCTATCTCTTTCCCAAAAATGAAGCATTGAAATGAGAGGAATATTTTTGCTTATGCATCATTAGGCTTAATGTTTTGTTAACTGCAACATGTCTTTCTCTAGATATTGGGGCCTGATCTCTATTGTTTCGTAATATCAGCAACATTGTATTTTCCCTGATAGAAAATCTCAACCATACAGAGTTTTTCTTTTATGTTTTCTGTTTCAAAAACACCAATTTGAAAATTAGCTGTGAAACTTCCACAGATAGAAAAAACTTTGGCAGAAATTGTGCTTAAATTAAAGTTCTATTCATTTATTTAAAAATGCAAAGAAAATTATCAAAATGTTTTCTCAATTTAATGCTGTGAACTATTTAAGAAGTAATTTATGGTGGTTATTGTCACAGCATTATTCTGTAGTATTATCTTTTCTGATTGTGAAAATAACTTCAGAAAAGTACAGAAAAGCATAAAATAAAAACAAAAATCAGCTATAGTGATTCTACCTAGAGGTAATTGCAAATAGCATTCTAATATACACCCTTCTAGTAATTTTTCTATACTTCCAATAATATTTTCAACATTATTTTTTTATTTTTCTGTGCACACTGTTTCCATAAGTTGAGTTTTTCACTTCTTTTTTTTAATTTTTGCATTTTAAAATAACTATGTCTGTATCAACATGTATTTACTGAACTCCCAAGTTTTGGACAGCCATGTAGAATACAATTTATTACACTATTAAAATATTTTATCTGACAGTTTAAAAAAAGTGGTGATATTTCCTGATGAGACTTAATTGATAATAAGGAATAGACTAAATGTTTTTCTTCATGTAATAATTCCAGAGGTTTTATTTAAAAGTTACAAAAAGTAAGCACATATAAAAAAAAGATAGTCAGGAGCTCTGACAAGGATAATTTGAGAATTTCATAACCTTTTTTATTTGTGTGTGTGTATGTGTGCACATGTGTGTGGAATATGTGCATTCCAAATTTATAAGCAGGACTACTCTCTATAGAAATGATAGACTGTTTTCCAAACTTTATTTATTTAGTATTATTAACTATTCAAATAAACAACCTATAAATCAGAATAGTTAATGGAATGTTGACTGAGACAGCAGTTCATCCTGCAAAATTTCAGTAGGAGAATTTATATGCCCATTTCAAGGTATATTGTGCCTATAAATATGAATCTCACAACTTTGTGATATTAATAACTCCTATTCAAAACTGATTTAAAGATGTACAAAACAAGATTAAAATAGCAGTCCCCTCTCTTTCCTCTTAAACGTTTTGTACTAAATAAGCTCAGGACTCAGTGTCTCTTCTGGCCTGCTTTATGTTAACCTCTCTTATGGGCACTAATGTGGAAAATATCTCTCTCCCAGGTTTGGGAAGGACGTCAGGATCAGCAGGAGCTTCTGAAAGGAATCTCAGAGCTGGACATCAGAACAGAATTATTTTTTTTATTTTTCTGTGCACACTGTTTCCATAAGTTGAGTTTTTCACTTCTTTTTTTTAAATTTTTGCATTTTAAAATAACTATGTCTGTATCAACATGTATTTACTGAACTCCCAAGTTTTGGACAGCCATGTAGAATACAATTTATTACACTATTAAAATATTTTATCTGACAGTTTAAAAAAAGTGGTGATATTTCCTGATGAGACTTAATTGATAATAAGGAATAGACTAAATGTTTTTCTTCATGTAATAATTCCAGAGGTTTTATTTAAAAGTTACAAAAAGTAAGCACATATAAAAAAAAGATAGTCAGGAGCTCTGACAAGGATAATTTGAGAATTTCATAACCTTTTTTATTTGTGTGTGTGTATGTGTGCACATGTGTGTGGAATATGTGCATTCCAAATTTATAAGCAGGACTACTCTCTATAGAAATGATAGACTGTTTTCCAAACTTTATTTATTTAGTATTATTAACTATTCAAATAAACAACCTATAAATCAGAATAGTTAATGGAATGTTGACTGAGACNACTGATTTAAAGATGTACAAAACAAGATTAAAATAGCAGTCCCCTCTCTTTCCTCTTAAACGTTTTGTACTAAATAAGCTCAGGACTCAGTGTCTCTTCTGGCCTGCTTTATGTTAACCTCTCTTATGGGCACTAATGTGGAAAATATCTCTCTCCCAGGTTTGGGAAGGACGTCAGGATCAGCAGGAGCTTCTGAAAGGAATCTCAGAGCTGGACATCAGAACAGACAGGATGCTCTCGCAGCTGCTGGTGCACGGGGCCCTGGCCTTTTCCCTGGGAACAGATAGCTCATTGGGCTGCTTCCTGGCAGCTGCCTGCTATGGCCATGGTCATGTGGTTCTGGCCGGCCATGAGAGTTTGGTATATCATCCCAAGATGAGCACATTTGTGTTCAACACTCTGCACTGGTTGGCAGGGCACCAGAAAGGGAAAATTGAGTTGACATCAGAAATGCGAAAGCTGAGCCCTATGTTGTCAAAAAATAGCTTGGACCTTCTGACCAGTGACTTGAGCATCTTCTGTTGTTCCACCCTCAACAACATGGATGTCAAGAAGGTGGAAGAATTTGTTACAGAAGGCAGAGGGTTGCTGATTGGCAATCAGGCCTGGTCATGGGCCTACAGTAATAAAAATCCTCACTTTATGTCTCAGTATCTGAATAACAAGTTTCTGAAATGCTTTGGCTTTGGCATCTTAGATAAGGGAGGTGCTACAGGCTGCTTCCCAGTCCCCAAGCCAGGGGTGACAAACTACCATCTCCGCAGAGCTCTATCCCAATTTGAGTCTTTGCTGCACAATGGAAGAGACCTGGTACAGAGCTGGCTGGAAACACTCATAAAAGACTGCCCCTACATGTTTCAAATCCCCTATGAGGGGATTCCCATCTATGAGTCTGTGTACAAAAATGTCCTGAAAATGATCAGACCAAAGGGCTTGCCACTTGTGAATGAGAAAAACCCAATCACCAAGGGCAGCTCCCAGGCTTACCTGATATTCTTGGCCCAAGAACTGGTCAAGTCAGGAACTGCCAGCTCTCTGTTGCTCGGTGATCAGATCCCCTCCCTCTCCACTCCGTCCCATGCAATGTCCCATCAAGATTGAGATCAGTGAAAGTATGGAATGGACAGAGAGGCTAGGGCAGCACAGGGACTGGGGAAATGGTGGGCTGGCTAGCTTCAGCAGCATTCCAGGGACGTTCCCCCTTGAAAGGCCATCTCCATTCTTTCCCATTAACTTTTAAGATGAATTCTA